CCTGCTCCCCTTCGGCCGCCCCTCTCCAAGCACTCTGATCATGCAGCTTCCCCACCCAATGAGCTAAACCGGCCAAGAGGCACGCACAAATTTGCTCACAGCATCAACCTGAACCGGTTCAGAGTATTGCCACTTTCAGTCGCTGCCTCCCTGTCCCGAGGCTCCTGCACCGCGCTTGTTCACTTAGGTAGGACATGCCCTTTTCTGGCCAGTCGCTGCTTTGGAGAACTGTCACAGCGGTTATAATGTGGCACTATTTCTCCAACTTTTAGGCCGTATATACGCACACCTAAAGAAGACCTTGCTTGGCCTTTAAAGCATGGGATCCACTTATGTCAGGCCCCTCGGCTCCCAGTTCAGGTTTTTTAAACGCCACTTAGGGCTTTGAGGCTCCGTTTCCAAACAGCCTTTAGACACAGCTAATCTCCACACAGCCTTGCCCACAAACAGCGCAGGCCAGGAGCCCTTTACTTCCGGTTCTGTCTTCAGAACTCTACCAGGTGGCCCCCTTCCCAAACATCTCTGGCCTGCCTTTGTGAATGTTACAGAAGATGCAACACTGCACACTGCCCAGAAGCAACATGTAGCCTCTCACAGTAGCAAGAATTGCCTGCAATTCTCCTTACTGTGAGAGGCTGCACATTGTAAAGAAGAATGAAGCAAGGCAGTGGGGTGTGGGGTGGAGGACAAAGCAAGGCAGGGGTTGCAGAGCTGCCCCAAGGCCCCGCATTGGCTTACCCTTCAGCCAGGCACTCATGCCAAATCCCCCCCCCAGGGCACCACATCCCTTCACTAACCTGCTTTCCAGCTCCGTTCTCCACTGCGTGTTCAGGACAAGAAAAGTAGTCTGTTGGAAGGTAAAAAAAAAAATACCAGTAGTTCAGACCTTCCAACTTCTCATGAAGAAAAAAAATGCTCGCGAAGTTGGAAGGTGTTTTTACTGTAGTCTCATAGATAACTTTTCTTGCCCCGCATGTGATGGTGGAGAATGGAGCTGGAAAGCAGGTTAGTGAAGGGATGTGGCTGCCTTGGGAGGTTTGGGGGAGTGAGGTTTGGGGGAGTGAGTGTGTGTGTGTGAGAGGGAGGGGGATGGAGAGAACATTGCTGCCAGCCCTGGATAACTCTCCGAGGTTGTATCAGATCTCTCTCTTTCTCACACACACACGTTCTTTCTTTGGGATCACAGCAGACTCCCCTTCCAGGATTGCAAGGCTGAAGGCTTCGGATGGAGCATTTTGGGGATGTCTGTCTGGCCTGCAATCCCAAGTAAAGGACAATCGGCAGGAAAAGGGGAGCGGATTTTCCTGCAGCCTGTCCTTTCTTTGGGATCGCAGCACAAACACCCCTACCCCCAAAATGCTCCATCCGAAGCCTTCAGCCTTACAATCCTGGCAGGGGCATCTGTGCTACAATCCCAAGTAAAGAATGATCAGCAGGAAAAGGGGAAGTAGGCCGGCAGCTGGAGAGGTGCTCTGGAGATCTGGGCCAAGTTGCACAGCTGTTGCTGCCTCATCTGATCAGTGGGCAGCAATTATGGGGCTGAACCTCCTGGTGACCGGGGAAGGGCTGCCTCCTGTGCTGGCCACGCCCACCCCTTCACTAGGGCTTATTTTTGGGGGAGGGCGTATATTTATGCCCACGCCAAAAATCAGGCTTGGCCTTATTTTCGGGACATGTCGTATGATTCGCGCCCAGCTGCCCTATTTAGGGTGACTCGTTCCCTCCTTAATGTAGGGGGAGTGCAGGAGCCCTTGCAGGGTACAGCTGAGGAGTTTGTGCAGTTTCTGTCGGATAAAGTCGATCAGATTTGGATGGACCTGGACTCTGATTGGGCAATTCTGACCGAGATGACGGGGGCAGGTCTTAGTCCTATTGTGTGGGATGAATTTGAGCCTGTGACTCCTGAGGAAGTGGACAAGGCTGTAGGAGTAATGAGTTCCTCCACTTGTTTGTTGGACCTGTGCCCCTCCTGGCTGGTTTCGGCCAGCAAGGAGGTGACACGATGCTAGCTCCAGGTTTTAGTTAACGCGTCCTTGAGGGAGGGGTCCTTCCCGCAACCACTAAAGGAAGCGGTTGTAAGGCCCCCCTCAGGAAGCCTTCCTTGGATCCAGCAGAATTAAAGAACTTTCATCCAGTCTCCAACCTACTCTTTGTGGGAAAGGTTGTAGAGAAAGTGGTGGCACTTCAGCTCCTACGGTCATTGGAGGAAACAGATTATTTAGACCTTTTCAGTCTGGCTTCAGGCCTGGCTACAGCACGGAAACTGCTTTGGTCACGCTGATGGATGATTTCTGGCGAGCCCGAGATGGGGGTCATTCCTCTATCTTGGTGCTACTTGACCTCTCAGCAGCTTTCAATACCATTGACCATGGTATCCTTCTAGGACGACTAAGGGAGTTAGGAGTGGGAGGCACCGTGTTACGGTGGTTCTCCTCCTATCTCTCTGGTCGGTCACAGATGGTGTTGGCAGGAGGACAGAGGTCGACCCCCGCACATACTCCCCCCGCACTTATGATGACAAGAAGCTCTCATTCGGGAGTATAGTAAGATCCTATTAAATTCCTCTCTACCCATACATGGATACATTCCTGATCTCTTAAGATGCCGATTAAAGTCAAGAAATCCACCAATCTTGACAGCATGTAAGTTGATGGCCGATCATCAGAGCACCACACAAAAGTGGATGGAGGCGTGGAATAGCTGTTCCCTCTGAGATGTCTCCGAGCATATCAGTCCTAGTAGTATACCTCCAGGATTTAGCCTACCCCGACACATATGGGTGACATATAATAGAATTAGAACAACTCATGGGGTGTGTGCTGACTCCCTGTATAAATGGGGAAAGACACCTTCAGCACAATGTGATTGCGGGGCCCCTCGACAGACTATCCAGCATATAGTGAGGGAATGCCCTAACAGAAGATATCCAGGAGATTCTAAGGACTTCCTCTGCATAACAACGGCAGTTACTGACTGGATCTCCAAACTCGACATTAAACTTTGAAATGTTATTTCTGTTTTCCTTTTAGGTTTTCTTACTGTTTTTTTATTGGTTTAATTGTTTTTAACCTGTAAAAATGAAGTGTTTTAATACTGTGTGTGACATACGCTAAATAAATAAATAAGAGGCCAACCCCTAGACCCCTCGTTTGCGGGGTGCCTCAATGCTCGGTCCTCTCTCCCCTATTTAACATTTACATGAAACCGCTGGGTGAGATCATCCGACAATACGGGGTGGGGTATCAGCAATATACTGATGATACCCAGCTGTATATCTCCACCCCGTGTCATTTCAGTGAAGTGGTGGATGTGATGTGCCGGTGCCTGGAGGCTGTGATGAGAGTCAACAGGCTCAAACTTATCCAGACAAGACCGAGTGGCTGTGGGTATTGCCTCCTAAAGACTGTCGACTGTCCATCCTTGGTTCTGGGAGGGGGGAGGGAGAGAAATTGTCTCCCTCAGAATGGGCTCACAATTTGGGTGTTCTTCTAGACTCATAGCTAAGATTAGAGCAACATCTGGCTACTGTAGCTAGGGGGACCTTTGCACAGGTTCGCTTGGTGCACCAATTGCGACCCTACTTGGATCAGGAGGCTCTTCTCACAGTCACTCATGCCCTTTCACCTCACGGTTAGACTATTGCAACGCGCTCTACATGGGGCTAACCTTGAAGAGTGTTCGGAGACTACAGTTGGTCCAGAATGCAGCTGCGCGAGCTGTTGTGGGTTCACCTAAATACACCCACATTACATCAATTCTCCGCAAGCTGCACTGGCTCCCAATTGGTCTCTGGCCACAATTCAAGGTGTTGGCTATTACCTTTAAAGCCTCACATGGCTCGGGGCCAGGCTATCTTCGAGACCGCCTTCTACCGCATACCTCCCAGCGACCGGTAAGATCCCACAGAGTTGGTCTCCTCCGGGTCCTGTCAGCTAAACAATGCCGGCTGGCGGGCCCGCAGGGGAGGGCCTTCTCTGTGGCTGCCCCAGCTCTCTGGAACCAGTTACCTCCTGAGATCTGGATTACCCCTACCCTATTGGCCTTCCGGAAAGCGGTGAAGACCTGGCTTTTCCGGCAAGCCTGGGGCCGTTGATCTCGCTGTTGCAATTTTACAAGTTCCGGCCATGAATGGTGTGCATGGGTTTTTAATGTTTTAAAATGTTTTTACAATGTTTTTTAACAATTTTTCTATGTTTGCATTATTTTTGCTGTAAGCCGCCCAGAGTCCCCTGGGAGTTGGGTGGCATAGAAATGCGATAAATTAAATTAAATTAAATTTTCAGGGGAACACGGTATGTGGATGAAAGGATAAAATTTACATTATAATCTTAAAAGAAAAATTTTATAAAATGATGTACTGTTAGTATTTGTCATCAGAAAAATACTTGTCTATAATACTAGTAAAATTGTCTAAAATACTTGTCTATGATGGATGAACAGAAAAAATTCATGGACTTTGCTCTTTTGTATGATAATCAGAGTGTTCATATACACAATGGTACGAAAACTTGACATTAGCTACAATGGAAGAATGATTAGTGAAGATGAAAGTGGCTGAGACTGCAAAAATGATAGCTTTGATTGGAGAAAACATTAATGCTGACTGAAAGACTTTTTTGGACTTTTTGTGGGAAATAGAAAAAAATAGAAAAAAAATGAAATTATAAATTATAATATATGGGTTTGATTATTAGAAACAATAATACGGTAGTAATATAAATATGCAAGTTATGTTGTAAACTTAGACTGGAGAATTTATATTTATATTTGTTGTAAAATAAATAAAATAAAATCAGAAATCATTTTTTCCAGCATTTTGCCTTTGTTTTTTTGTTTTACTATTTTTTCTCAAATATTAGGTTTTTTTAGTTTTAAAAAATTTAATAGTTATTTTTTTAAAAAAAGATTGGTCCTTCTGTATGATCACATTAGAAACCAAATTTCTGTATTATTTTCTTTTGTTAGAAACTAACGTTGAACAAAGTAAATAGGAGTCTGAATACAACAGAAACAAGCTTTATTTATTCATTTTAAACAATGATTACTGTAACAAAAGTCTTCATTGACTAAAAAAGCCAACTGTTTAAGTACGCAAGTATTTCGCAAACTATACTGTCCTCAGAACTATAAACTAATTTGCACGGCAACAGCCTTGTTTTTGAAAGACGGTAAAGATTATGAAACCTCTAATTCTAATCTTGAACTGTGAGAATATTTTGACACAGAAAAAAAAATGATCAAGAATAGGCTCTTCTGAATGACCATGCCTAGAAAGCCATATTCTGAATTGTTTTTTTAATGTTAAAAACCAAAAGATAAAATTATTAAGAGTATGAAAACAACAGAAACAATCTTTATTGATTTATTTTAAGCAATGATTACTGTAACCAAATTTTGACTAAAAAAGCCAGGTTTTTCCTGCCCATTTCATATTCTCTTTCAACCATTTAAGTACAGAAGTATACTCCAAACTATAAATTTGGTCCTTATTAATATTGACTGTCAAATGCTTTATGAAAAGCTTTGGATTAGATATCTGAACAGCCTGAAACAGTCTCTCTGTAGCATTCTGATATTCCTCACTGTTTTGAATATTGTTACCTTCACATCTGGAAAAAAATGCAAAATCACAAGAGTTATGATTAACATTCTATTGTTGTGGAAAATTTTCAGTAGCAACATTTCCATGACTGGAAATGACAGCAGAATTTATGTCAATTTTGTTAGTCTATTGGTTGTCAAATAAATATCTAAATTAATAATAAAATAATACATCTTTTTCACAGGATAAATCAATACATGAACAACTTTTTCAGCTGATTTGGAATATATACTAACCTTTTTAATACTATTTGAAGTATTTGATTGGAAGCTCCAGGACTCTGAATACTACTGGCATTTGAAACCAAAAACATTTCAATTGCTAATAGCATTTCAACTTCACTCATATAAGAAGGAATCAGTAAAAGTTTACGATAAAGATTTCCCTCTGGTGATGGATAGCAACCCAATGCTAAAGCACCTAAAAATGACAAAAAAAGAAAAAGAAAAAAGAAAGGTTAATGTTCTGTTCCCCAGGCATCTGGCTTCACTGGGAACAAGCAGATAAACTCCAGCAAACAGGTTTTCATGCAGATTATATTTATTTGGGAATCCTTGAACACGTAAGATTTACAATCATAGTGAGTCCAAGTGAGGTGCACCCATATTTCATAATCTGTCCCATTTCCTAGTGTAAAAGGATGGTAGTTTGTCCCCCTGTTCAGAAAGCATGTTCTCTTTTCTGAGGTAATTCAACATATGGCCAGGTCTTTTTCTAAAACCCCGGCAGAAAGCCTCGGTGGCCAATCAGACACACAGATATGGTCACGTCATGGACTACATTTCCCATAATGCAATCTCTCACTACATCTCCCACAATGCAATCTCTTAAGGAGACAGCTCTTAATCCTTAAGGTAACTAACTCACCACAATTCACTATCTGTAACAGCACACTCCCCGCCTGGAATTATAAAATTTCACTACTAACTAACTACTTAACTGAGATAAACAAAGGCATAGTAGAAAACAATGCAATGTAACTATCTAAGTGACTAAAGTAAACAAGATTATATCATCAAACAATGCAGGTTGTTGGGTAGACACAATTCATGCAAAGCTTGAGGTTCAGTCTTGAAGGTCTTCTAGTACTAAAAGTTCAGATTTCCTTCGTAGCAGTACCAGGTCGGTGATTGGCCTGGCGTAGATCTTTCTGGTAGATTTAAGCTGACCAGTGGGTAACTGCTCCAGCTTCACAATCAGAACTTCGACTTGGCAGACTAGTCCATCAGAACTGGGCAAAACTTGATGTACAAGTCCCATGGGCCACGAGTTCCGATGCACATCCTTGTCCTTCAACAGGACAAGGTCCCCTTCCTCAAGGTTAGGTTCCTTAGTCTTCCACTTGCAGCGCTCCTGTAGAGTAGACAAGTATTCTTGTTTCCAGCGCTTCCAAAAGGTATTGGCCAACAGTTGAACTTGTCTCCATTGTTGTGCATACATGTCCTTTGGGACGAAGCTCCCTGCCGGTGCTGGCCATTAACCCATCTTCTGGGTCAGCAAAGTGGCTGGGGTGAGGATAGTCGGATTCTCGGGATCCGAGTGAACCGGGCCCAAGGGTCTGGTGTTGATGATAGCTGCTACTTCTGCCATGAGGGTGGTGAGGACTTCATGGGTTAACACGGATGTCTTCATCAACATGGAGTCTAGAGTTCTATGGGCTATTCCAATCATTCATTCCCATACTCCTCCCATATGGGAGGCATGGGGAGGATTGAATGTCCATACAGAGTTTTTGGCATTCAGGTTGTCATCGATTGGCGAATCAAGATGAATGCCCTCACTGATCTGTAACTCCTTGCAGGCTCCTACAAAGTTTGTTCCATGGTCCGATCTAAACATCGCGTCTGGGCCTCTGTGGGCTTGGAACCTTCGTAGAGCGTTGATAAAGCTGGAGGTGTCCATAGATTCGATGACTTCAATGTGAACAGCTCGAATGCTAAGACACGTGAAGAGTTTGCTGTTAACTTGGCCACCTCTGGTCCTGCGGGCAGACACTGACCAAGGACCAAAAACATCTAAGCCCACGTTGGTAAATGGCGGTCCTGTGCTGAAATGTTCAGGAGGTAGGTCAGCCATCCTCTGGTGTTGTGTCACACTTCATTGCCTCCGACAATGTATGTACCTGTGCAGGACAGACACAATGGTCCTCTTGGCGCCCACAATCCAAAATCCTGCAGCTCTGACACTCCTTCTGTGAAGTGGCGGCCTTGATGGTGGACAGTTTTGTGGTAGTGTAGGACTATCAGATTCGTCACATGTTGGCGTGCAGGAAGGATGATAGGGTATTTTACATTTGAGTCTAATTTTGCCTTGTCTAAACGCCCTCCAACTCTAAGTACGTTGTTGCTGTCTAGGAATGGGTTCAGTTTCAGCAATTGGCTAGATTTCGGCACAAGCTTCTCGGCTTTTAGATACTTCACCAATGCCGGGTATGCTTCTCGCTGCACACTTTGTAAAATTACACTCTCTGCTATGAGCTGACAGTCTGAGAAGGTTATATCGTGATACACTATACGTATGAGTGTGGTTGTTCCCCGTACCAGGGACTTCCATCTGGAGATGCGTTCGAAATGAGCTGATTCCAGTGGATGTCTAGGGGGCCATTTTGTTTCCTCATTGACTGTAGTCGACAAGCAGGTGGCCTGTACGGTTGCTTCCTTGACCCACCTGGGAGGTTTGCTGAGCTCATGAGGTCCAATGTCCGCATCTTGATCTGGGTCTAGAAGCTCATGTTGTTCTGGTTCTAGCGATATCGAGCTGTCTGGCCAGGCCAAGAACTTGGGACCTTTTTGTCACAAGTGTTTCCAGGATTGCTGTGGCTACTTGCCTACTCACAAACAGTATGGTTTCAATCAAGCCATCTCCTGTTTGTAATTACCTGCAAGCCTTCCCCGCCCTAGTTAATTGCAGGTTAACTCCCCATATAAGCAAGGACCTTTTCGCTTGCTACTTGGGCCTAGACTTCTGGTTTAGGCCTAAATGCACAGCTCCTGCAGGAAGCTTAGTGCAACGCCGCAGATGGGAGAAGAATGCAGATAAGGATTCCAGACGCCGTTGCAGAGAAACTCCCACGGATGCTTGCCTTTTGCTGTTTTGAAGCACGCAAGCTATCATCGGGACTGCTGCTGGACCTTTTTCCTCCCACAAGCTTTAAGCAATGTTTGCTGTTTGAACTGTTTTTACTTCAGGTGACTTTCATCTGTGAAGTTCGTGCTGCCCCCATTTTGATCGCCTTGATGATGTATCGACGCCAAAGCTGCTTACCTTCATGCTAGCTTTATTCTCTTGTGAACTGTTTCAGTATTGTGGAGAGGGATCTAGCCTTGCTTCACATACCCAGATTTGACTTTGTTTTTAATATGCTTTCTTAAAGACATAGTGCTTTTTAAATGTTTTAAAGTAAATTATATTTTTACACAAGGCGCCTCTGTCAGAATTATTTCAGTCTCAGTGTGTTTGCTCATGAGCTGGTTCACGGTCTGGGGTACCCCTCAACCCCATTTCATAACAGTTGGTAGTAGAGGATGGTTTAACGAACCTACGCTCATGTGGTAATGTGCTAGACTGGAATGTCTGCAGTTGAACAGACGTTGACTAGGGCAGCAGCAGCAGCAAAAAGTATGAAGTCACTAACTGGACTGTCTGGGGCTCAGGCCAAAAATGTTTTGGCTGAAAAACCCCAAACTCTAATTGATTTAGAGAATAGTGGAGCTGTAAGTTTTGGAGCAGAGGCCTCAACTTTTGAAGGGCCTAAGATAGTGAATAAACCATCATCACCTAAAGAAGTAGAGACTGGAAGAACGCCACTTCAGGTCTTGAAAACAAATACAGAGGTGGATGATGAGTTTAGGAAGGCAATCCTTCAGTTTTTAGGTTTGCCCACAGTAAGTCAGAACCCGACTGCTGATTCTAGCGGATTATTAAAGAATCCAGACATGAAAGGAAAGAAGATCGAAGTCCTAGAAAACACCGGATCGGTAAGAGACTTTCAATCTTTTCTTAAAACCCCCACCTCAGATCATAAGTGGAGAATGAGGGATAACAAACTGCCTGATTCGAATGTTCCTGCTTCTTTGTTAAACCAGCATGGCCAAGTTGATATTGCACCACCTGCTGTTGAAGCCATCATAGATCAGGCCATAAAGACTTTAGCTCCCATGATGACATCAATGACTTCTGCTAAAAATTTAAGAGACTCTCATGTTGAGCATAAGGTTGCAAGTGTGATAGAAACTTTGGCAACCATTTTAGGCGATGGTTTGTAGGCGCCATCAGCTCAACAAATAGTAGCTGCACATACCAAAGTACCCCTGATGTCTGCGACTAATTCAGCGCACGCCACGAGTGGGATATATCCATCCGTGATGACATCGACATCCAGGACGGTTCTGGAAGCTGCCTCGACTGAAGATAGGAATTTGGGAGCGCGTCCAAAAATTCCTAGAGATGTGCACCAGAGAGGACCCTCGAGCTTTTGTGATCAAACCAGGATGAGCTTTGCATCTGCACAACCTGAAGTTTTAATCCCTCCCATTGGGGAGGAACGATTGTCAGAATGCCAGATGGAAGACACTGTGCTGTGTGCTTCCATTCCAATGCCTTATTTCCCGTTCCAGGACGGACCACATTTTGAACATCAATTAATGTCTGTTTCCATGTTTAATAATGTACAGGTCCTTTCTCCTAATTTTAAAAGTTTAAGTGTGGGTGGAGGAAATTTTAAGGAATGGATTAAGAGTATTCAAGTAACCTTAATGAAAGAGAATGTTTTATCGTTGTTGTTAAAACCCCCACCTAGACCATGGTCCTTAGAAGTTGATCTTTTACATCATAAGGCCTTTTGTATTTTATTGATGTCCATTGACCCTGCACTATATCCCAATATACCTAGTAACCTGACCGTAACAGAAGTTTGGGTGAAACTGCATAAGCTATTTTGTTCAAAAAGCTCCCATGTTACAAACAGAGTTTATAGGGAGTTCTATTCCGCAAGGTTGAAGGCGGGAGTAGATATTAATGAACACTTATGTGAGTTAAACAGGTTAAGGCAGGAATTGATGTTGAGGGGGGAAACAGTGTCTGAACAAACCCTCATTACTGTTATACTCAATTCCCTTGATCCTAGCTGGGATAATTTTATATCGCAACTGGATAATGTTAGTTGTAATAACTTATCTTTAGAAGTGTTATCTGGCAGATTGATTGCTGAAGATAACCTGTGAAAATGCAGGGCGGCTTTTCATAAAAAGGAAAAACCTTTAAGAAGGCCCGATAGTTCAGATAGAGCATATACTATCGGAGAATGCTTCAATTGTGGTTCAAGAGAACATTATAGAAGGGATTGCCCACAAAATGTGAATGCTAGGGCATGCTCAAAGGTACCTTCTGATAATAAATGTAAAAGGAGGTCATTACCTCCT